GGTGTGTGGGGGTGTGGGTGTGTGGGTGTGTGGGTGTGTGGGTGTGTGGGTGTGTGGGTGTGTGGGTGTGTGGGTGTGTGGGTGTGTGGGTGTGTGGGTGTGTGGGTGTGTGGGTGTGGGGGTGTGTGGGTGTGTGTGTGTGTGTGTGTGTGAAATAGTTACTGTTTGGAGTGGACATCCACACGAAGCCAATGTCCCTATGTGCTTTCTCTCTCTCTGTGCCAACACAACACTGGAACCTCGTAACACACTTTTGCGGAGAATGTCCGCAAGACATCTCCGAGTGGGTTTCTCGGGGATGAGGTCGAAAAGTCACATCAAGCAGTGATCCTCGAAGTACATGGCTTGCAGATCGCTGGGAGCGTTGCGTAGGCACTCCACGGCCCTCTCGAGCTCGCCAAAGTTCAGCAGGGCCTCGGGTACCCAGCATACAGAAACAATAAGTTCAAAACTCATGCATTCTCCCAATGCAAAATGGCCAGAGATAGGCCATAATTAATGGGCCCACTAGGCTTGCTGGCTCTGCCCAAGGTCACATGCCCGGCATGCCACAGCGGCCTCAGCCGACACACGAAGTTCACGCCACTTCTCATTGCAGGGATCTCAACAGCAGGGATCTCAACAAGCTGCGCAGACATTTGCACTTTTGCTGTTTCCGCCAAGATCCTTCTCCAGCGGGTCAAGCGCAAGAAAGAGAGCAGGACAGCTCACATTCTCACTCGAACACCCCCGTCAAAGCGAGGAGCAGCTCTCGAGCTTCCGGATCCCGTGTGCCTATGCTGTACTATGCCGTGGCATGAAGAGCGCAGGACTCGCATGACTCGTATCCGTCGTATCCTGCCCTGAAACCTTGAAGCTTTACTTGCGGGACGGTGGGCATTGGCGTTCTGATTCTACCTCCCTGCCTTGCACCTCACTCCTTCAACACTCCTATCAATAAAACGTACTTATTGTGCCTAGAGGCTTCCCAATTCAGCACAAAGCCGTGGCCAAAACTCCTCAAGGTAGCAAGGCGTATGCAACGGTTGGCACTCTCTTCACAGGTGCATCTGATTGCACGGCGAGCACCCTCGGGGCGATTCCGGTGCGATTCCAGGGCCATTTCAAGGCGATTCCGGCAGCATACGTAAGCCCGCTCACAAGCCCGTTTTGAGTCCAGATTTGTCCAGCCCTGCTTACGCTTTCCTGCGCGGAGTTGACGAGGGACAAATTGCTCTGAATCATGAGAACAACCTGAGGTTGGTGGTGGCAGGTGCGAAAGCGGCTGGAGCCACACAGTCTTCAATGCCACCGGGGCACCATTTCCTGATGCCTGGTGCTCAGCTGAAACTCATCAGGTAGGCCATGCCTCTGCCGCCAACCTCTGAAGAAGGCATAGAAGACCTGAAAGAGTCTTTGCTGGACACCCGGGCACGCTACTTGTGGGCAGCAGCTTGTGCACAAAAAACTGCGCTCTGCCCGCGGTGTGGCAAGTAGCCCGGACCAACTGCTGCGGTGTAAAGTCCGTTGGACTCAATTCCTCCGAGGCCCTCAGAGCAAGTGCCGTGGCCCAGAAAGATCTAGGACTTGGGAAACCGCATCTCGAGAATGAAAATTCAAGCATACCTGCCTCGCGAGCAGCTCGGAGACAGCCTGCAGCGGCCAAGTCAACAACTCGCACCACAAGGCAAGACAACATCCTGACCTCGGGAAGCGCAACTGCGGGGTATCTGAGGGTGTCTGAGGGTGCCGCATCGAGCGCCTTGGGCATGACAGCCGCTGGCGTAGGTTGAGACGCCTACTTCGAGAGTGTGGCATAGGAGTTTCTTTCGAAAAAACTAGAGATTTGACACCGAAGCTCCACGTGTCTCCACCTCCTCCACCTGGGCGCCCTCGGCAGAGGCTTTCGGAGCTTTCGACTTTTCTCCAAAACCTTTCGTCCTTGAAGCAGTGACTGCTGGGAAGTTGGAGTGCGCCAGGCTCCACACCATCCAGTCGCTGGTGCTTAGAGCCAAGCTGTCGTGTCTTCTTCCAATCCTTGAGTTTGCGCAACATGTCGGAGTCATCCTGGGTCAGCCAAGGCGAGCTACGCTGACTTGCAGCTCTCTTTATTCTCTTTCCGACAACATCTCAGAAGCCAGCTGCGACTTCCATGCCTTTGCCAGCAGCAGACCTCGTGGTGAGATGTTGGACCTGAGCTGGTGGTCCTCTTGCCGCTTGCCGCTGTTTGCGTACGCTTGTCTGAGTGTCTGGGGGCAAAACCGAACGTGCTGACGACACTGACGACGCAGCTGCAGAGAAAGACATCCAATTCAAGACTTGGCGTGGCCTAGGAAAGCCACCGGCAGACTGAAGTACTGCACGGATTGTACAGGGACAGAGCCTCGATGAAACTTGGTTTTAGGGTCAGAGCATCGGTGCATAAGTTAGCATCAGCCACGCTGAAACTGCTAGCAGCGGCCAACAAGCTCGCTGGTTTCCCATGGCAGCTCTCATTGCTGTTGGATGCCTGTCACACTATAGTCACACTATGGTCACCTAGCCAAATATAAGCCATTGGTCCAAGTGGAATCCTGATCTACGGGGAATGTGCAGCCACTGAGGCATGACTGCAACGTGCGCCTAGGCAATTTCCATGCAACCCCGCACTAGATTTTAGTGGGTCTGCGATCGTCCACAGCTGAGAAAAGGCACTCCTTGTTGTCCTGCTGTCTGCAGTGGGTGAGGCTGAATATTGCACCAGCGCCGAAGACATTCAAGAGTGCAAGTGATCTCGTTGGTGCTCATCCAGGAAGCAGCAGAGCTTCCGACCGGCTTTCGACAGCCTGCTCAGCAGCCCTGCCCACTGCACAAAAAGTTGCTGAGCAATGCCGAGCACAAAGCATAACTTGCCGGTCCTGATTGCATCAAAAGGTCGTTCCAAGATGAGCAACACCTGAGCCATCTGCCTGGCAAGCAGACTCGGCCACAACTCAACTGACGATGTTCTTCCATGGCATAATACTCGAAGGGATGGCTCAAACACAGGGGCTCGCTCGCAAACGTCTTCCGTGAAGAGCAGAGCCTCCTCCCAATGCTGTAAAGCCTGCCAGTCAGACCCTTCAGAATGCAAAGTGGCGGTGGTAGTTCATGATGGAGCTAGTCTGAGTGTTTGAGGCCAACAGAACTGGCAAATGCCTTGCTATGTGCACCTGCGATGAAACAAAACCGGACGCAAGCGAGATCGGGTGGACGATTGGTCAGCGGGCGTGGGACGCGAGAAGACCGGAAAGACGGACGACGAGTGGGCGGGTGCAGTGGATGGGCGGAGCGAGTGATGAAGGACTGAAAAAAACGGCGAGGCGAGCGAGATCAGGTGGAGAGGTGGTCGACGGGTGCGACGGAGGACACAACGGCGAGGTTCGCGAGATTACAGACAGTCGCGAACGAAGGATAAGGGGAGACGAGCGAGGACCTCGCGGGACGGTTGGCTGGATGCCACATTTGTCGTTATTGCCAATCTGTTTGGGAATGCCCCCACGAAAGATGGAAGGCGAGGTCGGGCGATGGAGGCGAGCGAGATCGGACGGAGTTCTTCTGCAAACAGTTATATTCACCGCTTGATTTGAAAATAGTCCTGTTGGGATCCCTGATCCGGACGACTTTGAAACCAAACAACGGTCACTGTGCCATTGGCGCAGTGCTGTTATTTCGGCTTTCCGACAGTTCGACTTCCAGTACACTTGCACAAGCTTCAAGCCCCCCCCCAGCGAAGATTTTAATAAAGGACTCCGCACACGACGCAACGACCCTTGTTTTAGTGTCGTCATTTATGGTCACCTTGCTTCGAGAGGATTGGTTCGGAATCGGAAGGCTGCGAGGACTAGATGCAGCAACATACAGCAAGATGGAGCAGCTGAGGCACTACCCTTCTTTTCGAAAAGGGGGCCATGTGTCTGGCAAGGCGCCTCTGCATAACGCTCGGCCTGGGCCAGGAAGCTGCCCTCGGCTCTCAGCCTGAAAACACACACACACACACACACACAGCTTAAAGACCCTAAAAGAACTCAATCACAATGTGATCGCACACGCGGGCACGGCCTCTTGCACTTCATCTCCACGCTTTCCAGTTGTCCCCTGGCAAGCTGAAGAGGCCTCACAAACTGCCCACCGTACTAGCAAATGGTTTTAAGATTTAAGGCCAGTTCCGCCTTTGGCATGTAAGGCTTGTAAGGTCCGGACCCAGAGCATTCGGGTTGGATTTCCTCCTCCAGCTCATCCTCCCGCTGAAAAGCGGCAGCCAACTCCTGTGCTCACGCAGCACCAGCGTGCCCTCAGAACTAAAGAAACTATAGGAAACTTCTTGGGGCCCCATTCTGCTCGTAGGGCGATAGAGCCATTCCGGAAGTCGTGTGCCTAGACATGCTGCGTGCTTGACTACTTGCATGCTCTTTACTGTCTACATGACTGCCGGAGAGCTGTTATCCGCAGCTATCGCAGCTTAACGCCACCCGCTCCAATCAGAGGCTCGGAATGCGAAAGAGAAAGCTGGTATGAAAGAAAGCCGGCAGCACGCGGCGTCGGCTGAACAACCACGTAAAAAGCTGGCGGCGGAACCTGATGAACCTCTGGTGCTGCGCGAAGGCGCTTGCGTGCAGCCTGCACCAGCAAATGCTGCTCTTGGTGTCTGGTGGTGGCGGAACCGATGCAGCCATGAGCACAAACAGGTTTTTGCCTGCCAAGCGAAACCCTCCAGCGAGCGGAGCATTCCCGCGGCGGACATTGCTGCGGCATCAAGCCAAGTTAGGGGAAGTACGTTGCAGTCGGCATTTAGAGCGCACAGTGCAGTCCAAGCTCTCAACTGTAGGCACTTCAAGTACTGAATGGCTTGCTGTCCTTGAAGCTGGCTCTGAGCCTCTGAGCCTCTCTGAGCTTGATCCACATCCAAATTGCAAGAAAATTGCAGGATTCGGCAGAGAAGGTCCAAGGATCGTGTTGATGTCCATTCTGGGAGCTAGAACCAATCCAGTCAATCCAGTGTCCTTCTGGCAATCTGAAACGTAGCAGAGCCACAGAGCCCAAGTTTCACCTCACAAGGAGGGTGAAATTGAGAAGAGCTGCATCTTTTGAGGCGTGTGCAGGTCCAGCTTAGAGAGCAGCCCAGGAGAGCTGCCTGTTGTTCCCGCGCTTGGCGTGTCATGACCTCTCATGTCAACAGCAACAGTCTTTCGGACCTGCTCTTCAAGCTCTTCAGACTCTTCAGCCGCATTTAAGGTGCAGGCGCGAGACGCGTTGTCTGCTTGCTTCTTTGCCGTGCTGTACACCCTGAACCAGGTTGTAATTAAGCCCACATTCAAATCCCAAATCCAGCGTTTGGCAGGACTTGACCCAATGCTTGCAAAATGACTTCAGAAAGCCTGCCAAGGACTTGCTTGACACGCTCCTGCCCATATATGCTCATATCACAGCAAAGCCAAACAGCAGACATATGCCACTACCTGAAGAGTACTTTAAGTAAGTGTTCTGCACGTCATAGCAGTCATAGTAAGTCCTGCGCGCCCCTCTCGGATCTCAGGGCATGCACCTGAAAGCGTCACATTTTCTGCATGTCGTGCTGTGGCACATCCTTCAATCGAGGGGGCTCCAACCTCACGTTGCCAAAGCGCCAGCCACTGCTGCAGTAAAACAGTGTCTTTTTGCTTTGCCTGGCAACGAAACTTACAGGACTGCAGCATAAACTGGTCGTGTTGCCTTTCTGAGTTTACACCCTGCATCTCTGCACTGTGGATGCGGACCATGTGCTCGACCTTCTCCTTGACCAACGCTTTGCAATTTACCTGCGTCATCGTCTGCAATAACTGAACTCGAAATATTCCGCCAAAGACTACCGAATGCTTGGTTGTGGCCTTCATGCTGAGAAGATGCCGCTCTGCATCGGCCATCTGCTGTTCGTACCTCTCCCGCAGCTCTTTGTCTGCCTCCAGTCATGTTTCGCAGGCCGTCAGGCTCTCTCTTTCCAGCTTGCCCTGCATTTGTTTCTTGATGCCATGCCTTGGTCTGCTCCAGTACTCCCCGCCACGAGGCAATGGCGGCACACATCAACGACCTTGGGATTTGCTGCGATCCCTCCACATTGTTCCGATGGGCTCGATGTAGCCTTGTTGCCGAGCTCAACACCGGCTTGAAGCAGAAGCGAAGTGGCCCAATACCTGCAGACCAGCATCGCCGCACAGCGCTCGACACGGAAGACGACACAAAGCAGTCAGACAGACAGGCAGACAGGCAGACAGGCAGAGAGAGGGAGCGAGAGAGAGAGAGAGAGAGAGAGAGCCACAGCGAGAGCGAGAGGAAGAGAGAGAGAGGCCCGCCTTCTTCACTTTGCCCTTCTGCTGGCCCCCAAGACCTCCGAGCTGGGCCTCCAAAACACAAAGGAGAATGCAAAGCAGTGGCCCAGTGAGCTGCATAGCATCACTGCTACTGACAGAGTGTTGACGGATGTTGATGGATGTTGGCACTTTCCTGTCTCATGGAGATTGAATACTATCCCACCGCCGACTCTGCGTTACCTTCGGCAAGCAATGGAAAACAGCGCAGGAAATTGGAAAGCGAATTCCATGCAGCACTTCGTGCCATTTCCCAGCAGGGGCAAACTACCATGTGAGTTGTTACACGGCCGTGCCACAGCATCCACTTCACAAGTCAAGTAGTTTCGAGGGTTGCTATCGGGTTAAGGCAAAGCATGGCTGTGGCTTCTCCGCCTTCTCTTTTCCGATTCAAAAGCAGAACAGCGTTTCAAGAATACTGCCGCTCTTCAGATCCGCTTCGGAAAGAGCCGGCGCGAGTTGACGCACGTGCTAGCCGCTCCATGCGGGAATCAGAGCTACCTAAAGTCGAGGCTTCGCCTTCGGCGACGTCACGACCTACCGAGCAGATACGCCAGGGAGGACCCCGGCAAAGGCCAAATACATGCAGCGGATAAGCTGTCCAACAGCGGCCTTGCGTAGAGAGCAAGCGGGTGAGCGAGAGCGAGAACCAGAGAAACGGAGAGAACAGAGGAACAGAGAGCAAGAGAGAGAGAGAGAGAAAGAGAGAGCTGAGTAACAGAAAAAAGCGGTAGAGGTTGGCAGGTGCACAAACGCGATGGGTGCGAGGACTGACATGGACCAAGCCTTGAGCATCCGCGAAAAACGGCACCTCCGAGCCTGGGCAAAGCAGCAAAAGACTCGAGAAGGCAAAAAGTCACGCTAAAAGTCATGGCCAGTCGGAGCAAGTCGGAGATGTCGGAGAGGCTGACAACTGTTAAACGAGCGAAGCGAGCGAGCCGAGACAGAAAGCCTTGGTTCCCGGCACAGCGCGGGCTTCCATGCATGTGGTGCGCCACCACACACATTTGACATTGCCTCTGGAACGCAACTGATGACAGTACCCAGATTCTAAATGCAATACTTCTGCAAGCCTGGGATGGCCTACAAACACACAAAGCAAAAGGCATCGCCTCTGCATGCTTCAGCGTCTTCAGTGCTTCAGAGCACCCCAGCCAGCCTGGGAAAGTGTGGTCCTCGCTTGCAGGGCCATCTGTCGCAAAAATCAAGGAAGTGCACTGATCGTTGGCACCAGTGAAGCCATAGTGAATCCTCAAGGCCTATCTGCGACCTAAATCTTCTCTACGACGTAGTTTACTGCATGCACAGATTTTCATCTACATGGACCAGAAGCTTACGATCAGCCGATTGAAGGCCGACCTGCTGGCTTCTTTCTTGCAGGTTTTGGGAGGCTGTTCGTCCGAAGCCTGACCATGCCGAACCTGGGAAAACCACGGAGCTGGGGGTCAGCAAAAGACGGCCGCTCTTGAGCCTCGCAGAGTTGTTCCGAAAAAGCCCACAAGGTCACCTCAACCACAAAGCTTTGGGAATATGCAGAACTACGTCTGCTGAGTTAATACTTCGGAATTGCTGACTCCTCCTCATGCCGAGCAGCTCCAGAACATGGAGCGCGGAAACTTGTTCCCGGAGTGTCCTCACTTCAGTACAAGCAAGAACAAGCCAGGTTAAGGAAGAGGTTTTTGCGCCGTCTTGCCGTCGGATCCATTCGCGGATGCTGCCAGGTTTCCAGTGCAGCGTGGTGCATCCGAGGTGGGCGCGAGCAAAAGCATTTCACGACGCTGGGCTTGCAGATCGCCTTTGTTGCAAGCCAGCCCAAACTGTTTTGTCACCTTTGTTCCGGCCTTTTTCCCCTCTGTTTGCGCACGCTTGTTTGGCTTACATCTCGTTTGTTTCTTTCAGCAAGACCCCTGCCCCTTCCACACCCTTTTTCCATCCAGCTTCTGATTCTATCAATGAAGTACGCCACGGTGCAGACAAAGCTATCAGCCGCTGTCCCTCTCGTTCAAGCAAAGACTGAGCGAGAATGACATCATTGAAAAGCCCCGTCGTTGGCAAGCTGCTGCCTTCCTGAGAAAGTGCAGCCCCCTTAGCAAGTGAGCATCACCAGCATCTCATAGCGAAACTTAACGCCTTTTGACACTGAGCTACTGGTGCTTTCCACGCTGGCTTGCTGCAACGTTCCGAAAGCTTGCCAAGGGAATCACCCACCTAACTTTTGGCAGAGAAGCACGTGCCACTTCCATTGGTTGCAATGATTGCCGCCTGCCATGGGCACTGTAGCCAGAGCAAGCAGAAATAGGCCGAAGAAAGGTGGAAACAGGGAGCACGCGCCAGCTAATGCTAGACTGCGAATGATCGGAGCATTTTGCCCTTCCCAATTCTTGGAGTTTCGGTCTGGGTTTTGAATTTGGCGCGGCTCCTCGCACAGTGCCAATACATCAAGGGAAGGTACGCTAGCGGCTTCTAGCGAGTCATTGCGAGCATGCATCTGCCCCAGGCCTGGGCTTTTTGCGCATGGGGGATGGTGGGGAGGTCATAATGCAGCTCCATCAAGCCCCTCGACCTCGAAAAAAAAAGACATCTTTTTGCCCAAAGGTGAACTGAGCCACTGACACTGCCATTGCTAGGTGACTTCTTCTAGATCCTTCTGGCCAGGCTGTCCCGAGCGACTTTGGTGCCCTGGAACGGAGACAAAGAGGGTCCCGTTTTAAGTACCTGAGAGTGTCGAGTTGAGTATCGCTGGGTGTGGAGGGACGTTGGCGCCGTGGCGCACGTCTTCGACAAACTCCTTCGGTATGCTCCCACACTGGAGATAGCGCTGCAGCCTGCGCACATTTTGCACTCTCGCTACTACGGTTCGCGTCTTTCTTGCTGCCACTGCTGAGTTGGAGCTCAGCACTCGTCCTGACCAAAACTTGCCCTTGGGGCTTTGTCATACTCGAAAGACTGTCAGTCTCTACTTGCACTGCTAAATCCCTGCAAGTCTATGCTGTCCAAGTTCTGGCGCAGTCGCTTTGGGGGGGGGAGTTGGAGAGCGGATGTCAGCCAGTGCAGCCAGAGCACATTCTGGGTGATGGCAAGCGAACAGGAATGCACTGTTTTTGACTGTCATTGAAATGTTACCAACCTCAACCAAGAGAGGAGCATTCCTTGCTCGCAATGTCGGATGATGAAGCGTGCTTAAACACTCTGCTTAAACAGTCTAGCTTGCGACCATGCACACCCGCAGCTTCGCACTCCAAACCGCACTCTAAATCGCTCTGACCAAGCCCGAAACTGTGCAAACAAAGTTCAAGCGCATGTGAAAGTTACGCAACACCTCAAAGCTACAAGGGGACCTGTCAGACACTGTGCAGTCCTGCGTCAATACTGTTTCATACTGTGTCATTCTGTGGTCACTGAGGCAGAAATCGCCTCACATAAACCACCATAAGCTGCTGCGCGCCGCTTTCAGCAATCTCCGCGGCACGCAATAGCCGGTCCGAGTCGTGTCTCCATGTTCCACCCACCTTGGGGGTCAGACTTCAGGCTCCTTTCTGACATCTGAAAATTTTTTAGTGCCACTTGTCCAACAAGCCTGCACCTCGGGCCCAAGACGTTGTCTTGCACCTATGAAGGTGGGCAACCTTTGCCATTCGTTGAAGTTGAAGACGGAAACTAACACGGGCACCAGACCATCCGGGGCTCCGCTTGTGCCCGTCATTGGCTGGCAAGAGCCCTGAGTGCTTAAGCACCTGCTGGCAGATTTCCGCATAATCCGTCGTCTCCATGCCCGGAGAAGCTGGAAAATCTCTCACTGTGGTGCTTCCCAGGGCCGAAGGAAGCCACTCTTCCCCATGTCTGTCTCCCGGGGGGGGAGCCCACGCCCCGGCTCCCCATCTCAACACTTGTCTCTTCTCAGCACAAAGAAAGCGCCACGAAATGCGCTTTCAACTACCTGCGCTTGCAATGGACGGCAACTCTCCCATCCTCCCTCGTGCCCTGAATCCAGCCACAGCCCTCGGTAAATCTCAACTGACAAACTCAGATGTGAATGGGAGTCTGGCTTCGTAGGGGCCTTCGCAAGCATGGCCGAGTGTCCAGCCGAATGTTACACCGAACAACGCGATGAGTTTCTGTGAATGTCCATGAAGAGATTGCTCCATCTGCAAACCTGAGCTCGAGACCACAGAGTGATCAGTGCCATGAAGTTTTGGCGCGGTGGTGTCCAGACTGCAACATAAACGTTCGCAGGCAGTAGCCAGGTCAGCCTGCTTCAAGCCAGGCTGCTGCTCACCTGCAACTGTACCCGTTAATTTCCGACGAGCCATTATTGTGCTTCCGCTTTGCGGATCAAGGGCTGTTAGCGGCTCGTTGTGACCTGCGTCTCCCTGTTCCACTGCTCCAGCATTCAAACCGCGTCAGGAACCTCATGGAGGAACAGGGTGGTGCTGGGGGCTCCTTGGCGGCTCCACAAGCAGACCTTCGGCAACAACTGCTTCATCGTTGCGATGTTTGTTTTGTTTCATGTCGCCCAATCGTCGCACCACTTCAGGCAGGCTCATGTGCCTTCGCCGCACTTCACCGCGAGGACTCGCTCTGGGTCCCTTCGCTCAGCAATGCCGTCTCATCAACTAGGGATTCCAACCACGGCATCACCAGAAAACGATTCCAGGACTGGTCCTGCAACTGTTAGCATTTTCAGAGTCAAGCTTGTGCCTCTCCATTCAGGTCGAGCCATTCACGCTTTTGTTGGCGTGGTCACGAACAAAAACAACACATACGCTCCTGCGGATGAATGGAATCGTTTGGAGCCGATACCGATGTAGCAATACCATGTCCACCTGGGAGTAGTCCTCAGCAAACGGAATGCTACAGAAGAGCATGATGTTGCATCATGGCAAACTCCTGATGCAAATGCAAGAAATCCTCCTACTGTCATGCGAGCGAGAAGCATATCTCTCGCACGAGGCCGAGCGCAAGGGATCATACGGCAATTAGAGTGTGCTTTTGATTATCTCAATTATATTTTCGCTAGCTTGCGGCCAACCACATCTAAACGTGCAGGTCCCCAGCTGAAGGCCCCAATTTGGAACCATGATTTCATCATCAGCTAGTTCCTCCAAGCCCGCGGCGATGACCCGACCTCGGATGAAGCGGAAGAATGTAGCCCTGCGGCTGCTGTCAAAGGCCAACCTCACAAGCCAACGAAGCCAACGTGGCTCTCACATACCTCCCCCCGAACAATGGCAAAGGAGTCCGATACCCGCATCGCGACGTGCTCCAAGCCTCAGAGAGGGCGGCATGATGTACAAGATGGCACAAAGCACTTAATGCCGTAGACATTCCAAGACGATTTGCTGTTCTTCGTCATCGGCATACGGCAACAGGTTCGTGTCCGGCTGAAACCGTTGGCTACAGCCAAAAACAACAGCGTTCGGAACTAAGCCATCTGAGAGCTACTAAGCGCTCTCGCAAAAAAAAAAAAAGCTCCCCCGCCATCTCTCACGCCGCGGCTTCCTCCTAACTCGAAAAACAGTTCCTAAGCCGACTCTCTCGCCCCCCTCAATTTTTACTGAAGACTGAAAGACCCTAACGACACGTGTGTGTTTGATTTTCTTGTCGTGCTTTGACGCCCCCGACCTCGGTTTTCGTTGCACCCTCCCCCGCTGTTTTATCCTTCTGACCCGTGGAGTTTGTTTTTTGTTGAACCTTCTGCTTGGTTCGAAAACCTGTTTTTTGCTACCCCACCGTTCCAACGGGCCCAGGCTGTCAAAGATAGTGGCTTTTTGGGGGGTATGTCCGGAAATGTTGGGGAAACATGCGCATCTTTGATACTATGTGTTTTCTGCTGATGCAGGGCAGTGCCAATAATGCTAGTGGAGGGGAAAGCCCGGTGTATTTTCTGCATATGCTACTGATTCAAACATCACCACTTGAAGGTTGTTGGGAGGTCGCATCACAAACTTAGCATGATGTTCTTGAAGTTTGAAGCCACGGCTTTGACAGAGGCGGGGTTGGGAACGTGGGCGCGCAACTCGGCGGAACAGCTTCCACCCTCATTTGCAAACAATACTCTTACGGGCTTTGAAAAGGCCTTCGTACCGGTTTTGAGAACAGGCAACCCCCTGCACGTCGGGCCCCTCAATTTTGCGGACGGTTCCCACCCGCTCCCTCCCCCCCACCCGCCCCCCCCCCGCCGCCCCCCCCCCCCCCCCCCCCCCCCGCTCGGCCCCCCCCCCCCGGCCCCCTCGCCCCCCCCCCCCACCCCCCCCCCAGCCCCATCTTCAAAACTCCAACAACCACACCCACATCCCACCCTCCTAAGCCCTCAACCTAAACTAAACCCTAAACCTAAACCATAAACCATAAAACCATTGCTTGGCCAGCGACCTTGGCGCTGCGGAATCACCATGCTCACGCGTATTCGCTGGGGCTGGTCTCTAGCGTTACCTCAGCCTGTTTTTTTTGTGATGCAGTCGTATTGCGGATGAGGAAAGATGGCAATACTGGTTTGGGAGCAACCCGAATGATGACATTCATGTTTCGGCAAGCAAGCCTCACAAACCACAGTATGTGGAAGACACATGTTTTCGGGAGCTTCACTTTTTGCGAGCTGTTTGTAACGCGAATGTGCATGCGAGTAGGCCTCTATCTCTTGTTGTCAAACGTCCCCTTGCTTGCCCAGGACATAATACCGGACCAAACCTTCGTGGGCCGTTGTGATGCCTAAGAAATTTCGTCCCACAGCTTTGTCACCGCGGTGAGATTCCGATGTGCAATGCAATGTTTGCCACGACAAACCACATCGCTAGCATTTCAAATATGCAAACGCCGTTCCAGGTTTTCTGCACCCAATTTTATGCTCCAGATTCATAACTAATTGAAATAGCCCACTTGGCCATCGAAGGGGGAGGAGTTTCGGTTGTAGGGGCCACACCAAACAATTTGGCTACGTGACCGAAGGCCACGCATGCCCACGTCGGAAGCGAGTAGCCCTTCGTGGCATTTCGAACGACCATTGACCCTCAACAGTTGTCAGCTAATCCGTCATACAGAAGCCCGGGCAGAAGCAAGGTCCAAGAATGCTCAGGATCGTCAAACACATTGCTTTCATGCTTGCATCTCAGCATCCACTATAAACCAGGTGCCTTTTGGCTGAAATGGACATCTCCTTGAAGTCTTGAAGACTCACTCATAGCTCGAACGGCCCTGAAATTTAGAATCAGTCTGCAATCCATGCTGCAAATTGCCAGGTGGGGCCCTCTAAACCTTTGCAAGTCTCTTACTGCCATCGTAAGAAACATTGCATGCCTTGAAGAACATGTGAGCCAAATCAAGAAAAAACTCACAACATGGCTTATGCGCACCTAAATGCCACAGTCAAGCAGCACATTCACCACCACACCGCAATCCTCAGCTTAGGGCTCCCGGGATGACAAGACGGATCATCCTCTCCACAGCTTGACTAACACCAAGACAATGCGCCACGTGGCATTCACCAACTCCAGGACACATTCCTGACACTTCAAGAACGGAAACTCCCATAGTTCAACCTGTACCATATGTTCTGTTCAGACACGAGAGCTGAGAGATGCCCACGTACACCAGAAACTCCCAAAAACCATGCCTCGTGCGCAAGCTCCAAAATTCTGGCAAACGTTGGCACGGGCAACCACCAGCACTACAATCACGTACGCTGTGAGCAGCTTTAGTCTTGAAAAATGACATTCAAGGTCGGGCTAAGGAATACTACAGAACTGGCAGCGCCTGTTTGGAGTTGTACTTTGTAGCTTGTTCTCAAGTTTGTGGCCTGAATGTAGCATCCCAGAGACATTGTGCTCGAAAACGCCCAACCCATCCACATATTGGACCATGTCAAGCGCACCTCGATGCCTACGACTCCAAACTCTGAAGCTTTCACTTTCCCTACCGTTAAAACCTTCTACTGTGCGACAAAATTTCACAAGACATACTAACACCAGTTCGGTGCAGAGGCTGCTTTCCAAATCGATTTCACCGTCCTCAAGATGGGTAGGAGATTCAGATCGCAAGAAGTACGCAACTTCCCTTTCGGCTGAGAGGGCTCCGATCTTAGGACATGTGACAAAGGCGTAAAGGTATCCTACTTTCGAACGGCAGGGCCAGCAGCCAGAGCTGAGTTGCAAGCACCGAGCGCCACTTACTGTGGACCCACATATCCCATGTCGAACAGGTGGACCAGTGCCACGGGAGCAAGACTCCAAGCATGGACGAACTGCAGCAGACTACGGCGTGGCTTCTGGCGTGGCTTCTATGAATGCTACCACATGATCCACACCTTGGCCCCGGAACAATCCCCTCCGCGAATCGAGCCGCACCATGCCCGAAAAGTAGCGAAATTGATCACCACGGATGGCCTTCAGCTCCATGTGGCAGAGGACGGCAAGTGATGCGAGTCATACGAAAGGCCATCAGCCTGAAGCGGAACAGGGGCAACAGACAAAGCGGCACCCCCTAGCCGGTTTGCCTGAAGACCATGATGTTCACCGGGACAGCCAGGATAGCCTGTGCTAGGAGCAGCCCTTCAAGACATCTGTCGTGAAGCAACTTACGTAGACCCGAACCCAATGATCAGCATGTGGAACCCATGACCTCCCCCCCTCAAGAACCGTGGTCTTGTTTTCTTGCTTGCATACCGGAATCTCGCAGTGCTGGTTCAAGATAGGCAAGCAACCAGCCAAGGCACCAAGACACCGAACATGGATAACCTCAAGGGACCACTCGCCAATGGACAAGTCATGACAGCCAGCAACAAAAGAGCAGCTAGCCGCAGCTAGCCGCAGCTAGCGATCTTTGCAAGTTGCAGGGCAAAGTTGGTGACCACCTCCAGAAAGTCCTCCACAATCGAACCTCCCCAAGAACCATACCTCACACAGAGTCGCATACTGTCAAACGATACCAATAGCTAGAGCATTACAAGCCAAACTGACAAATCAGGCTGTTTCGCAGAAGAACTGGTAAGGTGCAAGGTCGCGGCATTTTGCTTGATACCTTCGACAGCATCATTGAAACAAGTCGCAACCGAAGACTAGTTTGATGAAACAAATCTAAGAAGGGAGCTGAAGTAGCGTGTAGTCCGGCTGAAATTCATATTGCTCTGCTGCCCGTCGTGCTTCTTGCATTTCAGCCTTGCTGCAGCAATAACGACATCTTCAAAAAGATAGTTCCACGTCATTCGCCATGAAGCTTCAGGTTGTTCTGTTGGGGCTGGAAATGGGCTCCCAGATTATCCGGTGTATGATTTGTTTGCCGTTCCTGAGGAGCCGCACTTGCCTACATGGTTTGTTCTCTTAAGAATTTCAAGGTATTTAGAGCTGAATGCGACAGCTATTTTGGGATCTCTTGGCGATGACCGTATTTCGCATCACCTAGCTCTCCTTGAAAACTCCAAAGTCCGTCGCTCGTCTCAACCCTCTCACCCACAACCCCAGCCCAAGCCAAAAGCCAAAGGCAAGGCCCTTCTAGCGTCATCTGCGTCAACGAGCAGAGAATGTTGCAACGCTCGTTCCCCCACCCTGCAAAGCCGAACCAGGATTTAAAGAAAAAAACTGAACATCCACGCAACATACTTGACCAGGATGGCCGGAATACAAAGGAACACAAGCGTGAGGACGCCCTGCGCGACAGATTGCACGGAGCTAACATGACATATGCGGAAGTCTCACCACTGCCTGAAGCACGTAGAATTGAAACAACCTTGGCCAGGGTGCGTGCCATGCTCAAGATACAGCTTGCTGATGTCAACTGAGCTTGTGGAGAGGCCCCAAATTTTCAAACAGCCCGAAAAAATAAGAACGATACTGGGCACATGTACCAATCCAACAAACTGCTCAACGCTCGCCCGAAGTCCAAATGTTTCTACTCTTTTGTTGCAAAATGTTCCAAGGCCCGGTGAAGAAGCTCGATTAAGACGGCTCAGAACGCGAGTGCCGCCAAGTGAGGATGAGTAGGAATCCAAGGACTGCAGACTGCTGGTTGATTCTCCCGACTTCAATTCGTCTCGATGCAATCCTTGTGCAAATCGGGCAGATGTATTGTAGCAATCTGCCAGCTCTATGTTGACATCCTTCAGTCAACTGGTTCTTCATTCCACGCATTGATTGGGCTTTTGAGGGTCGTGTCATTTCGCAATGCAAGAGGAGGACCGGAGGACCGGAGGACCGGCAGACCACGGACCCGGACCGCGGGCCAGAAGACCAGAGGACCACTTGCGGGCCAAAGGATCACAGGACAAGCGGACCGGAGAACCAGAATACCTTTCGATCCTCAAGAAATTTTCATTGGACCCCATCATTTCTTTACTGACCCTTGTTATCGTTTGATCCCTATGCCAGCTGAGAGACGTCTCCCGCAACTGAAAAATACAGTTGGTGTCATCTTGAACTCCGCCTTGGATTCTCCGGGTGGGCAGAGGCCAAGGGGCCAAGGCTGACACAGTGCATCATTGTGCTCGGTGTGTAATGTCCACCAAGCTTCTTCGGATGAACATGTCAGGACCTTTCAATTCACAATGTGGGGTATCACAGTCGCACATCAAATCAATTTTGCGTTTGCCTACTTGAGGGCAAGCTGAGGCCAACGGAATATTGCGCGGCACCCTTCAAGCGAAAGCTCCCTTAAAATGAAACACAGGAGTACACTGTTTATCCATGTTACGCACCAGGCCTCGCCATCCAACTCCCCAACACACCCCCACACACCCCCTTACCCCACTGCAGCATGCCCTAGCACTAGCACCCACACACCAACACGTCCACCACCGCCACCAACCCCACCACCACATACCACCACATACCACCACATACTACCACATACCACCACATACCACCACATACCACCACATACCACCACACACCAACGCAATCAGCGCACACCACCACACACCGCCGCACACCACGGTACACCCCACACCACCCACACCACCCAACGCCACCCCATGCCACTGCGCGCTGCCCCACCCACTGCACCCCACTCCACACCACCCCACGCCACCACATGCCGCCACACGCCGCAACGAACCAAAACACGCCAAACAACGCCAAAACACGCCACACAGCCCCACACTCCGCGACACTCCACCACGCGCTGTTGGTTGCTTGTGCATGGATGCTGATCTGTTCACCATTGACCCCCCCTGCCGCCTCGAAGAGAGAATTTCCCTTCACAATATTAGGGTGATTGTCACAATGGTGGTCCCTTTTTGGGGTCCCTAGTATACTACGGCACCTAATATTTAGGGTGTCCAAGAAGGGACCCGAATCTTGACAACTACCCCATTGATCCAATATTGGAACCGCTATGATAGAATAAACAGCTCGCAGCCTTCCGGACCTCGTTCGACCCTACCGGCTAAAGCAAGACAAAACTCATTCCAGCTTCTGCCGAAAAGCTCCTGGGTCTGCAACCTTCGACGCATGTTTGCGTGCGGCCATCCTGCGCTTCGCATGCTTCATGCCGTTTCCACAAGGTTGGCATGGGAGACAGGTGTTCGGGTCCGGCATAGGGGAGTCAGAGCAACCTATCAGCCGCGATATGTGCCGATGAGCTACCAAGCACCCGGCAGGTGGACGAGTGAGCTGTGGTGCTTTGTTTTTGGGTGAGCGAGAGAGCGAGCAAGTGGTGGGAAGCCTATACTGCATCGGCCGATGAACAAGACATACAAGATACTCTTCTGACATTTCTGACTTACGGAAGCAAAGTTAAGGACTTATGCCACAGCTTTCTCCGCAGCATTTAACCCCGAGCCCAATGCCTGGGTAATGTTGTACAAGTACGGGTACGGAGTCCACAGCTTGTCCTCAGATTCCGCTCGTCCTCAGATTCCGCTCGAAAGCAAAACTTCCACGGTTTCAGCAAAGCATGCGGGGTTACGTGCAATGCCAGCATCTGCCAGTTGTGTCTTCAGCTTCTCGATGTCATGCTTGTGTGCAGGCCAGATGCCTCTCACGGCTCCAGGCAGGTTCACTAACAAAAGCAATCACGACTGAGATTCAACTGACTCAGAGACATGAGACACACGAACCTTCATTGTCATGCCCCCACTAGTTGCCACCCGTGGTGCTGGCAAGCACTTCATCCGGAGTGTGCTTGCACAATGGCTCCTTATAGCAATGACAGCAATGCGAGTCGGAGATCAGACAAGTCGGTTGCCCTACCGAGCCTCTGCAGCCTAGTTCCGCAAGTTCCTCCAAGTCTCACTAAAATTTGCGATGAAGGCCAATCGAAGGAATGGAAAACTGGGCTGATGGGATCCAGGAACATGATGCTATATGATGCAATGTCCACATCAGCAGCAAGACACACTGCTGCTTGCAACGACAGCACACAGCAATGAACACCTTCACCGTGCACAGACTGGATGCCAGAGAGTAGTTGCGTGCGGCTCGCGTCCTGAAACAATCGTTGGCACATCAGATGGTCCTCCACACAGCTTGACCGCCCTCTCCTGTGGTTTTGCAGCCTGGCAATGAGTGGTACAATCTTGGCCTTGGTTCAGAAGATCCACACGCGATAACATGCGATAACACTGGTTTCTCAAGCTTAGCTACCGAAAGCGAAGGCGATCCTGGCTTGCTACTGGGGGGCCCATCCGAACGAGAGCCCCCGGATCAAGACCGTAAGAGCCTCGGGACAAACCAGCGCACAGCTGCGGCATGTTACGCATCTGCTGTAAAAAACGGCAGACTCAGGCATGAACCAGCGCTTGCCATGACGATGCAGCTGCAGAATCAGTTCCAACTTTGCCTTTGACTCGATTCATGCCCCAACACTGCAAGATGCGATGCGCGAGGAAGCCAGGTGGCGATTCATAACCCACTCGAGGGTGAAGACGAGACCAGTGTAGAAAAGCCTGCAACATGGACCGCATCAGGTCACCCCTCAACTTTGGCTTAGTAGGCGCGTGCTTTGCGAAATGACCTCGACACAGTTGCTGAAGTTTCAGAAATCGCTTCTGCGCTGCCGAGCAACAGAAACGCGATGACGATCATGTTGCCCCACCTCACAACACCAACAACACAACAATCCAGGGACATGCGCAACCACATAGAACAAAAATGCCAAGCACAGCTGAGCTGGGCCAACGGCATGTAGCGGAAGCTGAGCTCCCTCCTCAGTGCTGGCGGTGCTCTGATGTGATTCTGTGATGCTCTGCCTTCAATCCTGCTTCCATAGGACCCAATAATATCTGTCATAACACGGCCGAGATGAGCAGGCGAAGCAGAGGAGCAAAATATTCAGGTGGAAGTCGCGAGTGCAGAGGAGTTGTCGGTGCATGCTGCGATCTCAGACGTTTGGGAGTTGCCTCGTTGTGATCTATTTTCAATCGTCTGAGGCAGCTACGTTCCCTCCAGCTCCGGGCGGTAAGATGATAGTTCCACATCCTGCTCCTCATAGTCCTGCGCATAGTGCATGTTTCTGACCAAAGCGGGTGAAGGACGTTCTGCCTTCATTCCCCACAATTGCTTGTAGCGCTCGCTGATGTTCCTATGCGGCCATGGGGCATTTTCCATTAACTCTGCTCAAACAGACACACTGGCTGGCGGCTTGCTGAGGCAAGAACTCCCAACTACGGCCAAACAAGACAGTCCTTGCCAGGCATATCTGCAACAAAGGCAAACGTGCACGAAGATAACCGCTGAACGAAGTCGTCTGTTTCGCCTCTCATCTCACAGCTATCTAAGCTGTATCCCATCTTCGCTCATTCATCATGCAAGCTCTGCTCGGTTTCTCGAGTGGTTGCATGCCCGCGCTTGGACGCACACATGGCGTACATGTGCTATTGACACACTGGTTGAATTGGTTCAGCTGAGTATCCAAAACAGGAGGGCGCAGGAGAATGCCTGCAAAAAAGGAAAGACCATTCACGCCATGTTGCACACAGAAAAGTAGACTCATGAAATCTGGAACATGCAAGCCTTTCCAACCCAGCGCAGGCTCCTCTTTCTGGCTTTCAGCTACAGCAGCAGTCCAGCCAGCACACGCAAAAGTCCTCAAATCATCCAAGACCGCCCCCGAAAGTGGCACCTGAGAGAACTGGGAACGCGACTGCAACCATGCGCACACAGCCTGTTTCTGCTGCCAAGGGGCAAACACACCCAAAAATGCCTTGCAGGATGGCAAG